TTTCAAGACTGAAGCATGGCTTGTTTCTCTGTGTTGTTGGAGCCTGAGAGTGGAAGCCACGAGGAAGTGCATTGAACAATGAAGATAATTCTTTAGCTTCTGCTCTCAGTTAACCCATTGCACACCCTTGTGCTTGTCTTCTTCATGTTACATTTATGACCATTAGTGAGAATGACCTTTTGGGAATAGAAAGGGTAGAGTGGCTGGACCTCTGCTAGACTCTTTTCACGTGACAAAGAGTACAGGATAGCACAGACTGCTGAATGATGCCAGCGGTTTGGAGGTTTTCAGGTGGTTTATTACTCTGTAGTTTCCATTCTGATGCCCTACTCGCCACATACAATTATTTCCACTGGGTTTTAAACATAGTGAGCATTGGTGAGATGTACCCAATGAACCGTTGACAGGATAGGGATTCTTCACCCGCAGAAGAGATTCTGGCAGGACAAGATTCTGCTCTCTTCCCTTCTGGTCGCTATTTCATTTCTTAAAACCATTGAGTCCATTGCAGACTCTGTCCTGCTAGCCCTTGGCAAGCTCGGCTCTGGCTGTAAGCATCCACACCTGTCTGTAAGGACCAATGCTAGGAGACCAGAAGTCTCACTTTGAATATTTAGTTGATTGCTGGGCTATTAGTTGCAGTAGGTGACAATATTTATAAAGTTTCCATATCACTTGTATCTTGTCACCCATGACAAATCATAAGCTTAACCACAGGCCAGCATACAACCACTGTGTAGGCATGGTGTTATAACTCTGAAATGGTATTAGATGGTAATATTGAGGTAAAATATTTTCCCTCATGTGAAAACCTGGGCATATGTTCCTTCATTTTTAGATTATCTATGATTGTTAATTTGCAGTTAGTTTGCAGACCTAGCAAGTGCCCTATATCAATTTATTGTTTAATGATGCACTGTTGAAATTAATTTAAGCTAACAAAAGCTATGAGGCAGCTTATCTTGCTTTCTAAAGGTGCCATTAACACTTTTAGCTGTAATTTCAGTAGACCCACAGTCTCACAGGAAGTCAGGAAAAAAAATGTGCAAAGGGCCTCTAGACCGCTGGAAAATCCAGTCTTCTAGGTTTAAATGCTGAGTTTGCCCAGCTCCTAACGTGTATGTACAATATGGATTAGAGGGACTGAGCAACATAGTGCATTGCGCTGCTGCCTCACCCTGTGATAAAAGTAATTATCCAACCTGAAAATAAGCTCACACTGCTTACAGGAGTCCAGGTAAATAGAATTAAAAAGTTACGATAAGCGACAAGCTTCTTAGTTACACCAGGTCTGCAAGCTCCACGCTGAACATAACTCTAGAAATAGGTTTAGGGAGATAGTTAAAAATCCAGTTTGCAAAATACATTGTTTAACTCTTCAGCACCTCCTGTATTAGCAGGTATCAGCCAGGAGCTGAGAGCTTATGGACATGCTGTGTTTGAACAACTGATTCCTTAGAAAAACATTAGCTAGAGCTGAAAAGAAATTTAATTAGTAAGTGAGATCTGAGTGGGTGGCTTATTACTTAGGGACTTTTCTACTTGTTTATTTCTACTTATTTCTGATGCTCAGAAAATCCACAGTTTATTTTTTTAAAGGAGTCTTACTACATTTCAAAAGTTGTAGTGGCATTTCCATGAAATTCCATGTGTCTTCAGATGCTTTCTAAACATCTGTTTTAGAAAGTACTGGAAGGCTCCTCAGGAAACTTTGTTATCAGCTTTTGTAAATGGACTGTGATTTTTGACCCTCCTGCAGGCAGTCTTGGGAGAGTAGGAAAAGTAGATGACTTCATGTAATTTTAGTAGTCTGATGAAAGATGCCTTCAATTGCAAGCCCTGAGATGATAATTTCTAGTCCCCTGTCATTTGCTGCATGCTATTAAAATTACTATAATCTTTATAACCCTTAATATCAGCCAAGGCTAAGAATAAGCTTGCATAATTACTTCAGGAGAACAAGACTGCTGTCAGACATAACTGCCTATGCCACTCATTTTGCTACAGCAAGACTCGCCACCTCTTACAGGGGCATGTGTCCTAGTCATGGTGTGGTCCTGTGACTTGTGGCTAAATCTTAAATACAGAAAAGTAGATAAATACACTTCCTTCCTGTTAGATGCATTTTTATCTGGATCTTGTGGGGCAGACAAGAAACTGGTCTTCTCTGATGATCTACAAGAAACCTTCCTTTAGAGCCATCCGATGAGTCCTAGGAATTTTCATCCAACTTCTTTCATAATGTTCGGAAAGACCCTGAGGGCTTCCAGCTGTCCTTTATCTCCCCTGTTCAGAGAAAAACACTAGGCTTCAGAGTAAAGAGCGCTCTCATTAAAGAGATGGCACTGAATGACTTTTCTCTGATCAGTGAATGTTGCACCATATTGCTGTTCATACAGCTCATTTACATTTTCTTCACTTCCCCCTGGGCCACTGCCATTGTAGAGTGGAAGGGAGTGCCGCCTTAATTGTACTCCAGGTGGGCTTCTGGTGAGGTTCTGCTATCTGCCAGAGTTCTGTGGTGGGTACTATAAACTGGACGTTGAGCCATGTACATTCTGTAGATTAGGAAGGAAAGTGCATGTTCATCCTGCAGAAGTGCACACATCCAAGCATTTAAAACTAGAGCGTTACCATTATCTGTAATGTACGTTTACATCCACCGTGTTGCAGAACACTTTGCACTTACTATAAATCAGTAGGGCACAACCAATGTCTTCAGGTCTTCTTAAACATCTGGTATAGTTTATCTTGCAGTTAGTTGAGCACTGCTTTCAGCTCTTAAAATTATGTTCAAAACTCTGTTTTGTATGGTACAACACAATCTTTTCTGAAAATATTTTCAGTGTATTTCTTAGGGGCAGTCACAGAGACCTCCCCACTTTCCTTTACCTTCTTTTCCTCAAGAACCTATTTGCCAGAACTGTTTTTCCTGTCATAGCATCATAGCATGAGACTGCCCTACCTGATTAGAGGAGTGTGCTAATGCATTTCACATATTGTTCAGTCTGAATCCAGCATCAGTTTGAAACACAGTATATCATGCCCTGCCTACCTGGATGAAAGCCATTCTAGTGTGGGCACAAAACTTTAGAAGTTTTCCAGATTTCCACTTAATCCTGCTAATACACATACCCTCAAAATATTTTGTCCAGTGTCACATCTTCAGCCATGAAAGTTGCTTTTATTCATGTATCCAGTTTCCAAACCTCTTTTTGCTATTGCAGCCCTGCATAGAATTCGTAAGTCCAGTCTACAACTGTGAAGGTGAGTCATCCAGTAGTCTAGCGCTTTATCATTATATATATTGTAAATTATCAAGTCTCACTGGCTTAATATTACTCTCTTCTTGGGCGCTGTCTTTTGCTTGAAAAGGCTATAGGGTTTTCATAGAGCAATTGTCTGTTGATACCTTGAAGCTTTCCTTTACATAGAACTTGATACCGTGGACACAAAAATAGATTTTATAGCATCAGTTATGCCATTGGGCTGCCTGATTACAAACAAGTCAACTGCTTACAAAGATGTGACAGGCAGCTGAAAACTTTTTCTTCAAGGAACCAGAACTGCAGAACTGTCTGGTCTTAAGACTCAAGAAGTCCTCATCTCCTAATCAAAGGTAATGCTTTGCTCTTTGGCTACTCTTTACATCAACTCTTAGAACCAAGAAATTTTATGATATATTTTTTATATTGTCTTCAAAAATGCAGTCACTTGCTACATTGTGATCATCACAGGCCTTATTAGACTGCATGTATCGTTAAGGTGCTTTAGCGACACAACCATGATGTTCTATCCAGGACGTTTCTTAGATCTTACCCTCTGATCAGCACTTTTTGAAGAGGTGGGCCTGACCCATTTCCCACCATGTTTCATTTCCCTCCCCGTACTCTTTAGTAGTCAAATGGATCAGGTTCATTTGGGCTTGAACCCTAGTGACTTAAGAACAACTGCAAAGGCTATGTTTCTCTCCCTCACCTTCAATCCACCTTTTCCATTCTTTCCAGAGATCACTGTTGTAAGAACTCACTTTGGCAATAAAATGTTCTTCCTCTGGCCCTAGAAGATATAAAGTTGGTTCTTTCTTGTCTCAAGAAGAGAGTTTTACAAAGTTCTTTTCAGTATAGCAAAGAGCAACAGGACATTGAGCCCATCTTGAAGTTAAGGAAGCACAGTAATTTCCCTTGCATGCTTAAGGCCAGGATAATGGTGCAAATGGCAGTAATGCCATCGCTACAAGTGTCTTCAGAAACCCAAACTCTACACTGAAATTCATTCCTTCACAAGACGTGTTCAACTCATTGTGTGTCAGGACAGCTTAAGGTTTTGCCATTGGACACTGACTTCTTTGGTCATCAATAAAGCTATTTGCAGCCCACCTCAGATACAGGAATGTAATTCTCTGGCTCCCAAGATCCCTACAAAT